TTTTCTGTCATTAAGAACATGTGACTTGGGAAGGAGATATAGGTTGGTGGTAAAGCACAAGCCTAGCATGTATAAACCTCTAGGTTAGATTTCCAAACCTGTGGATAAACCAAAACAAAAAAACAAAAACAAAAACAAAAACAAAAACAAAAATTCCTGTGGTTTTCTGTAATGACAGAAAGTGTCCAATATGAATTAATTAAAATATCAAATAGCAGGACAATATAAATATCATGTGCATATGTAGCCTTTGTCTCTGGTAATTATGTGCTGGATGACTCAGTGCAATCCATTCAATAAAAAAGAATTTTAAAAATTTCAAACTTCTGAAGGGTGCCAAGCATAATTGTGAGGGATTCCTAGGCTATGCTGTAAGAGAATGCAAATGTCTGGAGAGGTAAGCCTAGGGCCTATAACTGTATTTTTGCTGAAGGCCATCTGTGATTAAGGAAAAGGCCTAGGTCAAATTGCTTTGAACTAATGGCACATTTAAGGCACTATAGTAACAAGAATCAAAAACTAAGGTCAAGCAAAAGGGTCAGGGGTATCTAAACAAACAAACCTCACCCATAGGCTTGGGAACTCAGAGTTCATATCTTCAGGGTCAATGTAAACTGAAAATAAACTAGCCCTCACAAATTCTTGATTTTCATTTTTTTGTGATGGGGGAATCTTACTATCTTGCTTTAAACTCCTTGGCTCAAGGGCTTCTCCTCCTAATTATTTGAGTCTTCAGGTACAATCCACCAAGCCTGGTTTTCAGTACTAGTTTGGCTTTGCATCATCTAGGTTTGATTAGTAAACTGTAATCTTTGAGCATAGGTTGTATGATGGTTTGACACAGAAAGCAGCATGCTGGGTCTGACTAGGACATATAAAATATTCCCTGGAGTAAGATTTCACCATCCTAGCTCTCAAGTTATTCCAGTAAGCAATTGCTGAAGTACAATAACCACAAAATGGGACTGGGGAGATAGCTCATTCAACTAAGCACCTGTTTAGGCAAGCGCAGGGACTGGGATTTGATTGCCAGCACCATATGCCCTGCTAGCCCTCCCCCAGGGGCATGCTGAGCAAGTGACTGAGTCCAGTGTGGTAGTGCACACCTGTATTCCGAGAGACATTGAAAATGGGAGGATCACTATGACTCCAAGCTGCATAGTGAGGCCCTGTACCAAACACATTTAAAAAAGGAAAAGAAATAACCACAAACAAATAACAAAAGCATGAGGAAAAAAAGACAAAATATGTAAGAAGTAGTGGAAACAATAGCAATACAAACAAATCCATGAATTTGAATTATTTGAATGACCCAACAAAAGATACCAGGACTCCTTAGAGAAATGGCTGATTGTAGGAATGGGGCAGGTAACACACAAGACAAGGCAAGAACATCTTTTAGTGTCCCCCAGAAAAGCAAATAGGCAAAGAAAAAAAGTCCTCAAACTTCATAGTACAACTATGGTGATAAGTCAAATGAATACAAGAGCCAACTGAAAGAGCTCTTAATGTCCAAAGCTGGAAAAATATAAACAACAAAATTTGTAAAGTAGTACTACAGTATAATCCAAAATGTACTGTAATACTACTTTACAAAGTAACCAGCCTGTACTGATATAAATAAATTGAATACGTAAATAAGAGGGGAAGCATTAAATGTTCTGTGCAGAATTCTATTTTTCCTTTCCTTTCTTTCTTTCTTTTCCTTTCCTTTATCTCTCTTTTTCTCTTTTTTCTTTCTTTTCTTTTGGTGGAACCAGAGATCAAACTCAGGGGCCTAACACACACTAGGTAGATATTTTACCACTCAACTACATTCCTAGCTGTTTTATTTTTTGAGATAGTCTTGCTAAATTGTGCAGATTATTTCTTCTGCCTTAGCTTCCCAAGTAGCTGGGATTACAGGGCTGTGGCATCATGCCTGCCAAATTCCAAATACGTGTTATAGATAATCAACCATGAAGGAGGTGGAGCTTAACGTCCCACTGTTTAAATCCAGGCTGCCAATAGTGATAAAGTGGAAAGAAAGTCCCAACCTGTTGGATGGCCAGTGTGAGTTCTTGTTCTCTAAAATTGAAGAATTAATTCTAGGAACAGTAGAAGTTAAGAGCAGATACTTTTATTTATTGGAGAAAGCAAGCTTCTGTCTGAGAGAGACAGAAAGTGTCCCTAGTGGGTTCTGAGGACTCTGCCTTTTTAAGGGATTTTTATAGAGAAAACCACAAAGTGAGGTGGGTACAAAGTGGGAGAAAATGGGAAATCACAAGGTGAGTATGAGGCGGGACAAAACTATGGTCAACCGAAAAGATTATGAGCATAACAGCTCAGGAAATATTGATTAAATGGGGAAGCAAGTCACACAAGAGGGCAAGAAATACAACTGGGGCTTTTCCTAGAAGGGGTGGGGCAATGGCTCTTCCAGGTTTTCCCAAGGTGGTGGATCCTAGTTTAGAGTATCAGTCACTATTGCTTATCCTTAAGGGAAGTATGACGGTGCATCTTTTACTGCTTTTGTTTTGAGGTCTGGTCCCCTACAGTTGCACTCCCCCCACAGTTGCGATGTATCTCATCTTCTACCTTGGCTCCTTTAGGGGCCTATCCCTGTCTACAATAGTTTCACCTAACTTGGGTGTCTATAATAATAGTGACTATTCCAAAGAGTACAATTTGAAAAAGGAGAAATGAAAGAGTAACCTTATCATGGGGAAACCTGCTAAACACTATCTTGGCCAGGTTATCAACAGTGATTAAAAGTATTAATATGCATCCTTTGCATAATGTGATAAAAATGGTGGTCTTCTTAAAAAAAACACACTAACATTCATGTAACCTGAAGGAAAAAAAATAACAAGACCAATTTGTGAGACATTAAGTCCTGGACTAGTATTTGACTACTTCTTAAAAGTGTCAAGTCATCAAAAACAAGGAACATTTAAGACTCTGATAAGGAAGAAGAGGAACCTACAGAGACGCAATGCAGGAACCTGGAAGGAATTTTTTTTTTTTTTTGGCGGAACAGGGGATTGAACTCAGACCCTTGTGCTTGCTAGGGAAGCGCTTATTCCACTGAGCCATCTCCCCAGCCCCGGAATTTTGGAATAGAGAAAAACAGCAAGAGAAATATGAATAATGTATGCAACTTAGTTAATAAGATTGTATGAATATTGATTCTTTGTGACAAATGTGACATACTAACATAAAATGTGAATAGGAGATACCAGGTACAGAACATATAGAAGGTGTATTATTTTTTGCAGTAATTCTGTAAAACTATAATGGTTCTAAAATTCAAATTTATTTAAAAGTACTATAAGCAAATAAAAGGCTACTTAAAAGCCAGAGGGAAGAAAACCACAAGTAGAAAAATCTGTTGAGATGGTACAGTAGGGCTTAACAGGAATTTCCTGAGAGAATTTCCTAAAGCACTAAAATGTCAGCAGATGAGACATTGTCAAGTGAGAATAGCACGTCTGGCCAGTCAGGTATTTTTCCTGGCCCAGATTGTGAAGGAGACTATCTACAAAAACTCACGAAAAGAATGGAAAGGAATGTTTCATATAAACTTTATAAAATATTAAGACCCAAGTGACAACTAGAGACTACTCATCTGGGTTACAGTAATTCTACAATAAATAAAGAGAAATTATCCACCTGTTGTTCAGACACTGTTGCTTTACTTCATCCTGGTTTCCAACTCATCAGCTATAGCCATAGGAATTGTCCAGAGTGGGGCACACAACATCCATGGGAATAAGGTGTACTTAGGAAATAAGGAATTACCACAGGGAAAGTGGCATGCATTTCTCAGTTTTCTGGACTTATTCTGACAGATGTGATCTCCTTCAGTGGTTTCTCAAGTGTCTGAGAGAGTTCTGGTTCTGCTCTGTAGAGGTGAGCATAGGAGCCAGGCCAACATCCCTCATATACTCAGTCCCACCTATAACCTTCTCCACAGCCATGAAAGGTAAGTTTGATTCCATTTCATAAATGACAGAGCTGTCCCTTACAGCAGTGAATCTGTGATAACCGTTAGGTTGAATCTTCCATCGAGACCCAGAGGTCATGAAACTTTTACCTATCATTTTATATTCTGATAAGGATTTTAATTGGCTCTACTGCCTTTATAAACTCACTGGCGAGTTTTCTTGATTATGTATTATTTTCCTGTTTATCTCATTTTTATGAAAAAAGTAGTTTTCTAGGCCACAATGGACAGATGAACAATAAAAATTATATAGAAAGAGCCACAGATTACCACTGTTAATCTTTCAGTGAACACAACTTTTAGACTTGTTTTCTTACTAAATCTAAAGGTTTGTGTATAGTTGTCCCCCCAAAGCTTCATGCAGTCTTCGGTGGCTTCTGGAGTTTGTGTTAATTACTGTGGGTGTGGTTGCTGCACCCACTCCGGGGCAGGTAATTTGCATTTCTATGTAGGGAGGGAAGAGAAGCTAGCTGCTTGAGCTGCTGCTACCACTCCCTTGTGCTCTTGCTCTTTGCCACCACCATGAAAGTTTGCCCTCTGCCATGTGCCACTCTGCCTTGGACCCAGATGAATATGAACTAAAACGTCCAGTAACTGTGAACTAAATAAACCTTTCCTTCCTTCATTTTGAGTGTTGGGTATTTGTCCCAGCAACAAGAGAAGAATAACTAAGACACTAAGTTAATATCTCTTACAGTTTCACAAATATGGTTCTTCAAGTTATATCATTTAAAAATTTTACAATGCATTATAAAATTTTTTTCTGTATAACAAGTGAAAATCTTCTACTGAATCTTAGAATGCTGCAGGTGCATTAATACAGCTGCTGATAAAGCAGAAACGTTTAAAGCAAAACTTCAGCATAAGATTAAAGCAAAAGGAGCAACACATGCCTGCCAGGAGCACTGCACATAGAGAATGTCTTCAGTGTCCCTTTGTGACACCTCACAGCCACCCCCAAATTCCCATGAGTCCCTTGTATTTTTCTTTGCATTCAAAATAATCTTTGTGATTTCTGTTTAATTTTTCTGGTGCTATCCTTTACCTTAGCCATGATGTCAAATTCTTTTATATCCTCATTGCTAAAACTGATATCATATATGACCTTTTATTAAATACTCTTTGAGGTTCTGAGACAGCCCTTGTTTGCTTTTCTTTTGGATTTTCTTGGTATGGCATCCTCAGCTAGGCACTTGCCTATAACTGTTTTATACTTCTCTAGCTTTTTTAGGCTTCCTGCTTTTTCTTCCTCTTTTGCATTTGTCTCACTTTTTGGCTGTTCCTTGTCCTTTAGCACTTTCTCATCTTCTGTTCTTCTTCCCTCATTTTATAGCATTTCCTTGACTTCTAGAGTGCAAGCTTCTGGCTTTCTCTCGCTGTGTTGCTGTTGTTTGTATCTCACCTTTCCTTGGTTTAAAGGCATTCTATCATTTTCCCTGTAGAGATATTCCTCATCAGCACTTGCCCTTCTGTATCTGTCCTGGGGTGGCATGGAGGGAGGATGAGACAAAGAGGAGGTATAGGAGTCCCAGGGTACAGAGTGGAATCTAGGTCTAAGTAGGACCTTCCTTTCCCTTGTGAGGGTGTACCTAAGCTGGCCTGGCCTCTAGGTGTGGCTTTTGCCCTCTACTTACACCACATTCATCTGATACACCGAGGGCCGACAATTCCGTGGGAGCCCTGGTTGTTTCTGTGTTCCTTTAGCAAAGTATGTGCACCGTCTGTGGTGAGGATGGGTTCCATGGACCACTCATGCTGCCTGAGGTTGAGGAGGGCAGTTCCCTCTATACTCTCAATCCTGTGGGTCCCTGTGCAGGCTGTTGCCCTTCCATTTTCTTCCTCCAAAATATGACTTTCCCGCTCCCTTTCCTGCCTTTGTTAAATAGGTTGGGTAATCTGAAAGAAGAGTCTTGCCAGTGTTACTTTTAAATTTCTCTGCAAGAACAAAACACATAGACTCCTTGTCAATTGAATCATATAAATGTGAACTTAATTATTGTGTTGTTTAGTTCAATCCCTGGTACCACCAACTGAATCTGTCAAATGCTTGTGATTGTGGATGACATCCTTGCTATACTGTAAAAAGCTTTGAATAAGTGGCCTGATTGTTCCTATGTGGGTAGTTTCCCATTGTCACCACATAAGCTTTTGATAGAAAAGACTTTTAAATACATAACAATGAGGAGATGAACAACTTGAGAGATTTGATTACACAAAAATTTATAACAGTTTTTGAGGAAAAGAGGACACATACACTCTCCCCTATTCTTGAGTATATTAATTGGAAGGTCAACTTTGTAAATTGTTTAAAGAAAATATTTGACTTTTTGGCCTAGTAATTAAACTTCTAATATTGATCCATGGATATACAAATGTTAAAATATAACATTATTTAAAATGTTTTAGGTTTTAAAAATTCCCACAGCAATTATTTATTTATCATTTATGTTTTGTTAGTATTGAGGCTATAGTAATGATTCTGTTGGTTTCATTTACAGTAGAAAAGTATAGAACATAGGTAGTGTCTATCAATACAGATTTAGTTACATAAATTTCTTAGTACATCTATTAACTCTGGTAATGTTTGTGTGTTTGACTTATAAAAATAATTACTATTAATTGAAATGTATAAAATAGATATATTTGTAGAGACAGAAAGTAGCCGAGGGATAAGGTGGGGAGAGACTGAAGGGAAATAGATGGTTTTCTTGCTAATGGACAGTACACTTCTTTTCAAGGTGATGAAAAAGTTCTAAGGTTGGCTGTGGTGATGGCTGCACAACTCCGGGTGTATATTAAAACCTTTGAATTGAATGTGTGGAAGAGCTTCCAGCTACCCTGCACCCACGGGTCCTGTCCAGTCCAAACACAGGCATGCAGCATGAGTGAGACCCTGTTCCACGCCCTTGGGACCCCCCACACCACTCCAACCCAACACCAGCTAAGTGAGTGAGAACTTCTGCCACATTCTCGGGACACACAGATGCAGCCATAGCTCAGGACTGGTGACTGTGTGGGAGAACTTCCCCTCTCCCCTACTCTCCTTTGTCCCCTTCAGACTCAGCTCAAGCCTGACATACAGGCCTGGGGTGAAACTCTGCAGTTGCAGTCCCTGCAGAGAGAGTAAGGGACAGAACCAACATGCTAGTCCAGGAGCAGAACATCTTGCCAGAGTGGCACAAAAGTTTCATTCCCAAGGGCTGCAGTAGGAAGGACCTCAGCACAGCAACCAGACCCAAGCCAGGCACAGCTGTATAAATTCAAACTTTATAGATCTTCACTTGAATTTCAGTAGGTGCTAAGGTTATAACTGCACCAAAGCTCTACAACAAAGGTCAGAAGACAGTGCTATATAAAATCACAATAAGAAGGAGCAAAATGCAATCCTAGACCACAAGCCCACCCACAACAACTGGAGAAGACACTAGGACAGAACAAATTGTGAATCTCAAAGCTGAAATAAATGAATTAAGAGCTTCTGAAATAAAGAAACAGCTGCAGAAAGGTATAGAGGAACTCAGATAGGAAATAAAAAAGTAATCTCTGAATTATTAGCATCTGAAGTAAAGAATCAAATGCAGAAACATATAGAGGAAACCCAATGACCACCCAGAACAAGTTCAGAGGACATTAGCTCAGCTGAAATGTATGAATTACTAGCATCAAAAGTAAATAAGCAACAGTAGAAAGGTATAGAGGAACTCAGGGCAGAAGTAATTTCTGAGATAAAATGAGAAATCTTTGAACTCACGGCATCTGAAGTAAAGAATCAAATGGAAAAACACAGGGAGGAAACCAAATATGAAAAAACTCTGCAGTAAAAGAATTAAAAACTGCTTCTAAAGAAGACATTGATAAAAAACATAGAGGAGATTAGAAAAATGACAGATTCCTTGAATGAGCAATACAGGAAAGAAATAGATTGCATGAAGCAGAGTCAAAGAGATATAGAGGAGCTTAAAATCTCAATCACAAGCTTGCAAAACCTTTTGAGTGAAAGTGAAGACAAAGATTCAGATCTTGAAGATGATGGTGCAGCTAATGAAAAGGTAAGAACAATTAGGATGCAGGAAAAAATAGTTCATCACTTGCAAGACGATGCAAAGATAAACAATGTGAGACTAATAAGTATCAATGAGAAAGAGTCAATACAAATGACATTTAAAAACTATGGGCAGAAGTAATAGCAGAAAACTTCCCAAATATGAGGAAACAATCTGACATTCAGGTAACCAAAGCACACAGAACGCCAAGTAACCTCATCCCAATTGAAAAAACACACTGAGACATATATTAGTCAAGATCCCAGAAATTCAGCTCAAGAATAATATACTGAAAGCCACTAGAGAAAAGAAGCAAAAAACATTCAAAGGAAAACCCATCAGAATTATGGCTGACTTCTTTTCATAAACCATGAAGGCAAGAAAAGCATGGAGAAGAGCACTTCAAGTCCTCTATGAAAACAAATTCCAGCCTGTACTACTATACCCTGAAAAACTCTCTTTTACGTTTCATGTAGAAGTGAAATACTTCTATGAAAAAGAACAGCTAAAGAATTTCATGATGACAAATCCAACTCTACACAGGCAACTGAAAGATGTTCTAGAGAGGAACCAAAATGATCAGAACTCCACAAAAGAGAACAGAAAGAACCAACTAAATAGGGAAAACAATTAAACACAGGAGAAAAGGGAGTAAACAGCAGCAGGTAAATAACATGTCAATCATAAGGCAATACATCTCAATTATAGCCATCAATGTAAATGGACTCAATTCATTAATAAAGCGAAACAGACAGGCACGGTGGATTAGGAAACAAAATCCAACAATATGCTGTATACAAGAAACACATTTAATTCATAGAAAATACATAGGCTGAAAGTCAAAGGATGAAAAACAATAGTACACACCTCAGCACCTCAGAAAAACACAGGGGTAGCAATGCTGTTCTCAGGCAGTCTCAACTTCAAACCAAGAATGATCAAGTGAAATCAAGAATGATCAAAGAAGGCCACTATATACAGGTTAGGGGAAAAATTCAAGAGGAAGAGGTAACACCCATAAATATGTATGCACCAAACATGGGAGCACCCAACTATATAAAGCGAATCTTAATGGATGTGAAAAATCTAATATTCAATACCATACTCTGATCAGGAGACCTTAACACCCCCTTATCCCATAAGGATAGGTTAACCAGACAAAAATTATCAAAGAAGCAACAGAAATGAATCAGAGCTTGAAACAAATGGGCTTTGTGGACATATACATAGTGTTCCACCAAAACAAAGCTGAATACACATTTTTCTCAGCTGCACATGGGTCACTTTCTAAAATAAACCACATACTGGTCCATAGGTCATGCTTAAGTCTATGAAAGAAAACAGAAATTATCCCATGCATATTATCTGACCACAGTGCAATGAAACTGGAAATAAATGGCAAAAGAAATCAGAGAAAAACCCTAAATACATGGAAATTAAATGACACCCTACTCATTAACCAATGGGTCACAGATGAAATTAAACAAGAAACTCAACAATATCGACAATTCAATGAAAATTCAAGCACAACTTATTGGAATTTATGGGATACGATGAAAGCAGTTCTCAGACGGAAATGTATAGCTGTGAACTCATACATAACGAAACTGAATGGGAACAAATAAACACCCTAATTCTGCACCTTCAACAACTAGAAAAGGAAGAGCAAACGAAACCCAGAGCCCAAAGATGGGAAGAAATCATAAAGATTAGAGCAGAAATTAATTCAATTGAGACGAAGAAAACAATTCAAAGAATTAAAAAAGCTGTTCTTTTTCATAGAAGTATTTCACTTCTACA